GCATGCAAGATTATTCTCTCCCCTTCCTACTCCACATATCAAGAAGCGCTCAACACACTGACCCTTTCGACTCTCACTGACCATCACCACGACCTCATCTGCAAATTTGGTAAGAAGCTTCTACACCATCCTCGACACCGGCTCCTACTACCACCTGAGATCCCTAGTCCGAGAATTGCTGTTCGACACCACAACCGCATCCAGCCCATACGTGCACGAACTGATCGCTATAAGAACAGCCCAGTCCCAACCATTGTAAAAATTATCAATAACATGTAATAAATCAGTGTATTCACTCCCAGTAAACACTGCTCCCTACACTGTCACTATGTTGAAATGAACTGTATTTTGAGCTGATCCCCATCTAAGTTACTATATGTCTTATTTGTGTCACTTATGTCACTTGTATATTATTTGTAATTCGTAACCCATTCCCCAAATATGTAACTGTATATTTTCAGCCTTCTGGCTGCCAAGCTCTTTCAATAAACCGTTAATTATTATTATTATTATTATTATTACACACACACACACACACACACACACACACACACACACACACACACACACCTCTCTCTCTCTCTCTCTCTCTCTCTCTCTCTCTCTCGTTTTTTACTAAGAGAGCGAGAGATAAAAGTGGGTAGGAGAGAGCAAGAAAATTAACGGAGCCAGAGAGATAAAGAAAAAAAGAGCAGAATTAGCTGAGTGTGTGTGTGTGTGTGTGTGTGTGTGTGTGTGTGTGTGTGTGTGTGTGTGGTGCAACGTGGCCTCATATCTTCAATTATGCATCGTGATCCTACAGGCTGTTCCTACTCACCGACAGGGGGAAGAGTACACATATCTCCACCATCCTCGCTTGCATAATTATTGACTTTTAAGACCTCAAGAGACGGTGAGAGAAAGAGAAGGAGTCTTGACACTGGTAAGAGACAAAAGACCGTATTATGATGAAGCGGGTCGTTTAAGATCTGTAAGACTCGATAAGACAGAAAAGAAGTCTCGAGACAGGCAAGAGAAAAGAGACAGAGGCCGTAAGATGAAGCGTGTGTAATTTTCATGTCTAAAAACTTATTTCGAGACGGGGAGACATTAAAAGGTTCAGAGACAGGTGTGAGACAGAGACAGTAAGATAGTATGTATTGTTCTGTATTTTTATAACGTACAGTACGGTGAACCGTGAGCATAACTTCGCTTTAAAAGACTCGTATTGTTTTGTGTTGGTGGGTGAAAGGAGGGAGCCCCGGCGGCCTTGGTGAGGGAGGGGGCAGGAAAGGGGTTCAAACCAACAGTGGGGCAGCCTTAAGTCAGCACTGTGAACTTTATAAACCGGGACTCGATCATCACCGGATAAATTCACCATTATGAATCATCTGAACAGGAATTCGAACCAAAATTGGGTGAATTCAATACAGTGAATAATATGAGCTAAAGGGTTTGAACCAGCTCTGGGTAAAGTCAACATTGTAAACTTTATAAAGGGGACAACACTGGGTAAAGTGAACCGTGTGAACAGGAATCGGATTCAACATAAGATAAAGTCATTAATACAAACGGTATAAACAAGGATTCGAACCAACGCTTGGGACAGATTCGACACAAAGCTGGTGGTTATGTGGACAATTTTTTCTTCTGTCATGGCGAGACGTTGTTTATGTCGGAGACCAAACTTCTCGGGGAGATTCTTCCCGCCTTTTGTCTTTCCCGGGGAGAATGTAGTCATTTCTAGTACAGTCTCAGCACAGTTTCGACGTCATTTTGTGTGCAATACTTGTGTCGCAGTTTAAGTGGGTCATTTCGATGCGCTCGCACGTCTCCAGGTAGGGGGAGTGAAGTCGAGACGAGGGAGCCAGATGCTCAACTTTTCCTTCGTTGAATTTCCTTTGTAATTGTGAACATAAAACCGGATCTGTTTGGTTAATTCAGGATAACATCATTTAATTAACCTCTAATATGCGTTCAAATTTACACGGGGAGGACTATAACTAGATGAATTAGAGTATTAACGTGTGGAATGTTTGGCAATCTGGACCCCTGGCAAGATTTATCGGCCGGTGATGACACTTGTGGCATATACAGTGATCTTGGGTGTTTACCAGAACATTCTCTCTCTCTCTCTCTCTCTCATGTGTGAACGATGGTAATAAACTCATGGTGTTATCCCCATTCACAGCAGGTCGTTGATAACAGCCATAACTATATTGACCGTCAAAGAACAAAGATATCACGAATCTCCACTAGTCAGGTCAGGAAGATTGGAAATTTGGTGTACTAAACGTGGGCGAAAATTGTGTATTAAAAAGGGATGCGTTGTTGGTATTAGCCACGCCAACTGGGTATTGAGAGGACACGCCCACTGGGTATTAAGAGGCCACGCCCACGGGGAGGGGAGTAAAAGAGATATTGATGCTGTTGCAGTGTGGAGGTGGTGGTGGCCGCACCCCGCCCGCTTGCCTGCCATCCCTCCCTCCCTCCTTCCTTCCTTCGTACCTCCCTGCCTTCCACCTCTATCTGTTCTCTCCCTCCCTACCTGCCGCCTCCCCTCACTCTCTTCCACACCTGCCACTGTTGACCCCAAGTCTGGCTTAGTCTGTTCTTCACTGCTAGGGTGCCTGTAAGATACTAGTACACCCCTGTATACATTCATACATACGCGTGGTTGAGCCGACACACACACACACACACAGAGAGAGAGAGAGAGAGTCAGGTATTCCGTCACCAAGTAAACAGTAGCCTGTAATACCTTCATTTGTCTTAGGGTTGCCACGGCGTTACCTCTCTCTCTCTCTCTCTCTCTCTCTCTCCTACAACTATATATATTTTTGTATAATGTCCATTGAAAGATACAAATATTATCTACCCACATTTAGTTAGCTTGTTGAGTCGTGTGGGGGGCTTTGGGACTTGGTAGTGAGGCGAGTCGGATTACAGGTTTTGGCAGGTGGAAGTCGGATACTGAGTGAAGATGGTAGGAGCCGGATCGGATAGTGATTGACGATGCTGGAAACCGGATACTGACTGACGATGGTGAGAGCCGGATAATTGAATGACGATGGTGGTAGCTGGATACTGACTGACGGTGGTAGTAGCTGGATACTGACTGACGGTGGTGAGAGCCGGATAATTGACTGACGGTGGTGGTAGCTGGATACTGACTGACGGTGGTGAGAGCCGGATAATTGACTGACGGTGGTGGTAGCTGGATACTGACTGACGGTGGTGGTAGCCGGATACTGACTGACGGTGGTGAGAGCCGGATAATTGACTGACATCATGGTAGCTGGATACTGACTGACGGTGGTAGTAGCCGGATAGTGAGGGTTGTGGGGGAGGGGGGGGGTCCCATGACAACCACTTGAGTGCCCAGTAAGTTAGTGTGTATATGGCGATGATGATACGGGTAAAGGGAGTAATTGTCGATAATGAGAGTTGAACATGTAGATTACGCAGGGAATTAAAGTGCAGGTTGACCAATTTTAAGGCTGAAAATTTATGTTACGAGTTAAAGCGTAAAATATGATAGGAATTAAATTGAGTTGGCTAATTTTAAGGTGAAAAGTTAATATCGTAGTGTAAATAATAATAATAGTTTTAGGGAGTTTTAGAGTGTGTTAATGATGATAATGTGCTGAAAATCCCCTTTAAAATGATGTTGATATTGTAGGGAGTGAGTTAGTGGCTATTGGTGATGTGAAAATAGTTCCAGTTAGAGAGTTAATGATGATGTGTGTGTATTGCAGTTGGGGTACCGTGGTCACTCTATGGGAGTTTAAACGAAGGTAATAAATGGAAGGTTGTTTTTTGTGCACTAATGATGGTTGTGAGGAAGGTTTGATGATGACAGGTGTAAGTGTGAGTAACGGTAGAGAATTATAATGTTAACTGGTGGTGGTTGGTGAAAAGTCAGATTGCCACAGTTTAAATTACCCAGGAAATATTTTAAAGGTTAATTATGATGTAAGGGTTAACAGTTATATTTCGTCAGTTCAAATATGAATAATGCAGGGAGGTTTTACAGATAGGGAGAAGAGTTAGATTAGCCTGTGATAGTTTTAGTGACCCAGGCGGTTAGTGTGTACTGGCGATGTTGTGGGAAACAGTTTGTATACGTCAGGTAGAGTTGAGGGAGGGTTTAAAGTTTCGTGGTTTAGATACAGTTGTTGTTTTAATGTGTGATGGTAGTGGTGTGTGGAGGTCGGTCCAGTACAGGGGGGGACCCATGGGGGTTCTTGACGGGCCAACTAATAAAAAAAAAAAAAATAATAATAATAATACTAATCTACGAAGAATGCGCGTTGCTCGACACTGGAATGAAGTTCAATTACTGCCATCTGCAATGCCTCCTGACATATCTTGTTGACAGCAAATGGATTTGCAGTGAAGTTTATAATTATCATGTTCGCTGTTCTTGAACTCTTCAAACCTAATTTTCAATTTCTCACTTAACTTATCAATTAATGCTGTGTAGTTGAACCCATCTGCTGGTACTTCTTCCCCATCGTGTGCCAGAGAGTCAAAGTGTTTTAAATGTACAGAGTTACATCACAGCTGCACTTCCCACAGCGTCATATTGTTCATTCAGATGTCCATGAATGTACAACCAGAATAAAGATACATGTTGAAAAGAAGAGAGACACTTTTCAGTATGGTGGCGAGTGACCCCAACAGCCTGGGCGGGCGGGGCTATTGTAACATTACTGTTTCCTGATTATGTTGTTTAAATAATAGTTATGTTGATATTGTTTATGGTATTTTAGTAGTGGTAATACTAATATAGGTTAATACTATTATTATTTTTACCGTTCTTGTTGTTATTACGGTTATTATTATTGGTAATGTTTTGTTATTAGTGCCGTATTATTTTATTATTTTTTATGTTATTATTAGTGTTATTTTTAGTGTCTGTTGTCAAAGCCAAACTATTATTATCTCGCAATGATATTATGAACTAGAGACAGAGGGTGTTACTGAAAGATATATAATTATTGTGTTTTTTGTTACAGGTGAGTCTGTCTGTCGTGGGAGAGTCATACTGTAGAGTCGTCATACCGCAGAGTCGTCATACCGCAGAGTCGTCATACCGTAGAGTCGTCATTCCGTAGAGTCGTCATACCGCAGAGTCAGTCATACCGTAGAGTCGTCATATTGTAAGTGTGGCTCTTTATCTTGCTATTTCCTATTAGGGTCAAATGTGTATGTAGGGGTGGAGGAGGGTGAGAGTGGAGGGCAGGAGGAAATACAGAGGAAGAACAAATTAATAAGACAAAGTGGAAAGAGCGGTGGATGAGAGTGGATGGTGAGTGGATGACCATCAAAGGAGTGGCCCCAGGTGGAGGAGTGGAGACAGAGAACAGTGAGAGACAAAGACCACCAGGAGAAGGAAACAAGAGAGAAATGGTAATACAGGCAGAGCTTATTTTATTATGTCTGTCCTCCAGCAAGTTTGGTCAGCTGATGGTATTAACAACATCTTGAGTAAGGAATTATTGTGTGTGTGTGTGTGTGTGTGTGTGTGTGTGTGTGTGTGTGTGTGTTTTCTCTCCTTAGATTACCTGATTTATTTTTGTGTTGTTTGAATTATTGAATATTTTTTTTTCCCCGTGACTGATATAGGTTTTATGAATTCAGTACAACAATTGAATATAATGTTTATAATCTGATCTGTTTTATAAGCTTTATTGTCATCATTAGGTGGTTGTTGTTATTTTGGTCATTGTCGTTATATAATTATTATTGATCTATTTTCATAACTTATTATTATCATCTCTACATTTATTCCTCCCTTCCCCCCTCTCTCTCTCTCTCCTCTCTCTCTCTCTCGTTCAGATTCGTTCTCGTTCGTTCGTTCGTTAAGAATCGTACCCTTCTTCCTGGAGGAGTAGGCATGAGAGTCGGGGAAAATCCATCCAGGTGGCGGCTGGAAGGAAGTATGTATCAATTGGATGTAGTGGGGGGTCGGGGAGGAGTTAATGTGGTGGAGGTGTGGGTGAGGGGAATGCTGGGTACTGAGGAGGTGTGGGTGAGGGGAGGGGGGGTGTGGGTGAGGGGAAGAATGTGGAGTACTAAGGGGAGGGGGGGTGTAACGTTTGAGTATCTGCGAATTGTGTATTGAAGTTGTCTGCCTGTCTGTCTCTCTCTGTCTCTTTGTCTGTCTCTAAGAGTGTATGTGTGCGTGTCGGGTGCAAGAGGAGGGTTGTCATTACTTGGGTGTGCGTGGCGGGAAGGTCGAGACTATCACCTGGGGGAGAGACTTAACAGGTGAAGCTGAGGAGAGAGAGAGAGAGAGAGAGAGAGAGAGAGAGAGAGAGATGTTGCCCTCCAAAACAGCGTTGAAATAGGGCTTCAGAATCGGCCCTAACGAGGTGTATTCTACCCCCCTACGAGAACACACTCCAGGTCCTCGTCTTATACCGGGTGAAGGAAGCGTCGACGACTCAGGCACAGGCTGTAGTGACTATACAGACTCAACCATCGATCAGGGGTGAAGGTGCTCCTCTGGTATGCACGACAACTCCACTATACAATATCTGGCTACGTGCAACACTACCTTTAAGTCGGTCACGTAAATCTGTGGTCGTTGTAAATGTTATAGAGGAGAGCCAGTGTAGTTATACATACCTCAACTCATAAACACAAATGACAACAAACTTCAGGAACTTTTTGTGTGTGTACTGGCCACCACATCCCAGCGTCCTGAAGCACCATGATTATATTTCACGAGATTAGATCTGTTTTCAACAATAATGGATCTTATCTGTAACAGTTGTTCATCAGCGGTGATTATAGACTTGGGTCGTGCACGACTAAAGGTATATTTGTAAGTAGCGAGATATTGTGAAGTGAACATGATCTGTAAACCAAGGTAGCAGCACCTCCGACCCGTATTGAAAGGTGAGGTATTACTATCTAACATAAGGAACTATATAAACTACACAAATTATTAACTAATTATATTCTTACCACTTACCGTACTTGTTTAAACTGTCAAACTGCAGAAATATGACAATGGTCCACCATTTGTAGTGTGGGGTATGGAGGTCACAGTACAGTACGCCCCAGTGGATTCCAGTGTGACGATTCATCAGCTAGGAGGCGTGCAACTAGAAAATAATCAATAATTTAATACAAAATTAACGCACGGACTTTTCAGCTCAATTATTTACTGCACAATGATGGGAGACCAAAATGACAGGGAACTATTAATGGTATAGCTGGTCTTGCAGGACCCGGATGGTGGAGGGTCAAGATTACTGGCTGCCTCAGTCCCCTAATCGATGATGGGGAGTTTGTACCTGTGTTAAGTTAGTAATAGTGGGGGGTGTTGAGGGGTATTGTGGTGTGTGTGTGTTTGTTTCTCGCGGCTCCTCTTCCGTGGTGATGATAGTAATTAAGATCACGAGGAAGTCAGGCCACCCAGGCTAGCCCGGACTGTGTATGTGTGTACGTGCGCCGTTGTGTATGTTGTTAATTGTGTTTGTTTACAGATGCATACATGTTTATGAGTATATAGCAAGCAGGATAACACACACACACACACACACACACAGGCCCTCTCATATGCTTGGTATGTATCCGACCCTCCTCATGTCGAACACTTCCAGAGGACCACACTCAGACGTCTGCAAGGTGAGTGTACCCGAACCTGGACAGACTTAGAGAGAGTTACCTATAATACAGCACGTGTCTGGTGGTGTGGAGGGCGGCTCAGCTGACGGGGTCCAGGTTATGCCCGTAGCCGCTGGGAGGAATGTAGCTCGCCGGAGGCCACAGGACCAAACTGGCTTCCCGTCCACCCATTCACAGCCTCACCCACCCCCACCTTCACTGATGGCGGAAGAACTCGTTCACCTCTAGCAGTGTTGAGTGATGTTAGAAATATAGTGATTGACGCCGCGGTAACTCATGTAGGTAATATGTCCATCACAGATAACGACATCAAGTTAAGACTAAATTGAGTTGCGAGTGTTTAAAACGTGTTAGTCTGGAGGTCGTGCTACGCGGTGTTAATTAATTTATTACTTTATGAAATTTTAGATGAATTGTAACGTGTTTTAGTGGACAGTTACAATTGTTACCTTTGTTCACATCCCCCCCCTCAAAAAAAAAAAAATAATAATAATAATAATAATAATAATAAGAAATAAGAAATGGATCAAAATATTTAAAAATTAAAACTTTTCCCTGACCACTTTATATTTTCTTTTTAGTTTTTTTCAGGGTGTTGACGATCTCATGTCACCTCTTGGTCTAGGTATGGAAAAGTGGTTATATAATGTCAGGAGAACGTTATCGTCATGTGCAGGTTCAAGTTAGGTCGGTCAGGTTCATTTATTAGGTTATGGTGTGATCCAATTGGGTAAAGTTCCGGTATCGTAATGTTATCCCGGATCCGAATACTGAATGGTTTATATTTTTTATATTTTTTGTCTTAACTGGGGAGCCCACGTCTGTTTTAGCTACGACACAGATTATTATTATTATTATTATTATTATTATTATTATTATTATTATTATTATTATGTCTTAACCATTGATGTAAACACGCGTCTAATTGGCTCACGACAGGACGCTTACAATAGGTTGCATTGAGAACCTTACCTTAATTATTTACGATCTTGTCTAGATAACCAGATTTACCTTAACATATGCGCCTGCAAGAATTTGGACACGGGGCGTAGGGGGTCTTAGGGAAGTGTCAGGAACAGGTGATTCGATTCTGTTATTTATTTTCAGTGGCCTAATTAGACTGATTGGATGCACTCGGCCTGATGCAAGATGATGATGATGATGGTGGTGTTAGGGGTGATGAAGGTAATGTTAGTGGTGGTGAGTGATGGTGGTAATGGTGTTAGGGGTGGCAAAGGTGATTGATGATGATGGTGGTGATGATTATGATGATGGTGATGATTATGATAAGGATAGTGGTAATAATAATAATGGGGGTAGTAGTAGTGGTGATGGTGATGATGGAAGTGGTGGTAATGGTGATGGCCCTGAAGGCAAACCGCTTGCTTTCGCCTCTCCATTATGCAGTTGGTCGTGTCTTGAATGACAAAAGAGAATAACTGCTCTGTGGTGGTGTTGTCAGAAGGTATTGTTGACTCTGGTGAATGTTGTTGTTGTTAATGACGAGAGGGGGAGGGAGGGTTGTTCTGTTATTGTTGACGATGGCAGAGGAGATACGAGTAGCGCTTGCGATGGAGAGACAGACAGAGACCTACCTACCTACCAACCTTATCACAAGACGAGACGAAACTAACGGCTAAAAACACAACGACACCGACAAGAGGAGGGGGAAGACGGTAACACCTACAACCCCCTCTTACCTAACTGTCCCAGTCTAGCGGAGAGGTCGTCATTTCCTCTGCCCCGACATACCCAAGCTGGTGGGAGGAGAGGGGTGAGGGGAGGGCACCACTTCCTTCACCGTGTGTGTGTGTGTGTGTTAGGCGGAGGGGTAAGATGTGTGTGCCTGTGTGTGGGTGTTGGAAGACCTTTTGAATGTGGTTGGGTGTGGGAGGGGAAGAGGGGCTGTAAGGAGAGAGATGTGTCAAGAAGAGATCAGGTGTCATTATCATTACCAGTATTAATGTGAGAGAGAGAGAGAGAGAGAGAGAGAGAGAGAGAGAGAGAGAGAGAGAGAGAGAGAGAGAGAGAGAGAGAGAGAGAGAGAGAGAGAGAGAGAGAGAGAGAGAGAGAGAGAGAGAGAGAGAGAGAGAGAGAGAGAGAGAGAGAGAGAGAGAGAGAGAGAGAGAGAGAGAGAGAGAGAGAGAGAGAGAGAGAGAGAGAGAGAGAGAGAGAGAGAGAGAGAGAGAGAGAGAGAGAGAGAGAGAGAGAGAGAGAGAGAGAGAGAGAGAGAGAGAGAGAGAGAGAGAGAGAGAGAGAGAGAGCTGAGATGGTCGCTGCATCAGGGTGGCAGAAGGTGGAGGTGTAAGCGAGAATCAACACATTCCTTGCACCGAGTTTTTTTTTGTAAGGTCGAGGATGCGTGATCACTCCGGGACACGCACCAGAAGCTGTGGTGGTAGGTAGCTGTGCCCTCCAGAGGTTGTGGTGTGTCAGGTAGGTAGTCATGAAGGGTGGGAAGGCAAGTAGTCAAGGAGGGAGACAGAGAGGGACTTGGACTGGCAGGCAAGCTGAGAATTCATGTGCATGACGCAATAACAAGCAAC